CCCTCCTCCTCCTCCTCCTCCTCCTCCTGCTCCTCCTCCTCCTCCTCCTCCTCCCCAGCCATTTCGCGTCCGAGCGGCCTCCCCTGCACCGGGCCTCCTGGACGATGCGGCGCGCCAACTTCGAAGTGGCATTGCGCGCCCGAGCCGTAAAGAAGAAATGCTGAGGCCAGGCCTCAGTCAAGAAGCAGCGCGGAGCCCAACGTCATCAGCTGCAACGCTGAGACCAGGCGAGCGCGCAGCCGCCAGGAAGCCCGCCCCCCTCCGCCCCCTCCTCCGCTCCTTCCTCCCCCTCCTCCACCTCCTGGCAAACCGGGGCGCCAACAGTTGCGGCGCCGCGGTCAGAGTGCAGGCAATCCGTCGAGAAGACGAAGGACGAGCCCGACGTCAGCAGCTACAGCGCTGCGAGAAGCGGGAGGCGCAGGTAGAGCCCGACGTGACCAGTTACAGTGCTGGGATCGAGGGAAAAGCGAGCACAAACGGATGTGCCACGATTGGCTACAACGCTTGGAGCAGTCCGTGCGAGAAGGGTGCGCGCAGTGGCAGCACACGCTGGCGCTGCAAAGCGTGCGGGTGGGCTACGATCAGCTACAGCGCTGGGAGCGACCCGTGCGAGAAGGGGGGCAAGCAGTGGCAGCGGACGCTGGCGCTGCGAGAAAACGGTTGCGAGAAGGGGGAGGTGAAGTTAGAGCCCGATGGCCTTGGCCCTCATCCTCCCCCTGGAAGGCTGCGAGAAGGCAAGCAGTGGCAGCCAGAGCTGGCGCTGCGAGAGGGACGAAGGTGCGGGTGGGCCACGATCAGCTACAACGCTGGGAGCAATCCGTGCGAGAAAGGGAGCGCGCAGTGGCAGCGGACGCTGGCGTTGTGCAAAGTGCGCGGGTGGGCCACGATCAGCTGCAACGCTGGGAGTCGTCCGTGCGAGAAGGAGGGCCTGCGAGAAGCGGGGGGCGAAGCTGGAGCCCGAGTGTCTCTTCTAGCAAACGCCTCTGGGAACAGCGCGCGAGAGAACAGTGAGCAATGTTCTGCCGCGGCGCATTGGGGAGCCATCCTGCGAGACGTGGGAGGCGAAGGCAGAGCCCGACGTCGTCAGCTACAGCGTTGGGATCTGGGCAAGCCGCTGCGAGAAGACAGAGGCAAAGCTGGAGCCAAACGTCATCTAGCTAACACCTCTGGGAACAGCGTGTGCGAGAATAGCGCCATCCTGCGAAAAGTGGGAGGCGAAGGCAGAGCCCGACGCCGTCAGCTACAGCGTGGGGATCTGGGCAAGCCGCTGCGAGAAGAGGGAAGCAAAGCTGGAGCCACACGCCATCTAGCTAACACCTCTGGGAACAGTGGGTGCGAGAAGAGCGCCATCCTGCGAGAAGTGGGGGGCGAAGGCACAGAGCCCGACGTCGTCAGCTACAGCGTTGGGATCTGGGCAAGCCGCTGCGAAAAGAGGGAGGCAAAGCTGGAGCCAAACGTCACCTTCCTAGCCACCACAGTGTGCTGGGAGAAGCGGGAGGCAAAGTTGGAGCCCGACTCTATCTAGCTACACTCGCTAGAAGCAGCGCGTGCGAGAAATGCAGGGGCCAACGAACGGGCTCTGGGCGAAAGGGCAGGGCACGGACGAGCTACCCTCAGTTACGGTGCAGAGATCAGCCCGTTGTGCGAGAGCAGGAGTGGAGGAAACCCACTCGTGCGAGAAGGGGAAAGCAAGCAAGCAGTGGCAGCGGGGCTGCCCAAGCGTGCGTGCGAGAAGCAGGCAGTGGTAGCGTGCTGCCACGGCGTGCGAGCTCTGGGCCAGCGACTCGCGAGAAGCGGGCGGCGAGGCTGGAGAAAAATTTAGTCTCGAGCGAGTTCATTTTAGCTACAACGCTGAAGTGGGGGCTTGTGCGAGAAGGCGAAGGGAGTGGAGAAATCTGTTTCCCCCAGGCTGTCTGGTTGGCGCGGGGACGGCCCGCCGCGGCCAAGCGGCCCACGGCACGAAACCGCAGGGAGTCGTGATCCGTTTTGGTCCGCAGAATCCGCAGAATCCTCCTCCTCCCCCTCCTCCTCCTCCAAATCCAGAAAGTGGTGTTTTAACAATCTTCAGGATCTTCAAAGGGTTGTCTCCCAACGGGGCACTTCCTTCAGTAGGAATGAATCCGTGTAGGGGCATGTGAAGAGGGAGCTTGGGTGATGTTTCATTCCAACACCGTTGATGAATAGTGGGTTTACCATGGTCCCGGCCCTCATCTTCCTCCTCCTCCTCCTCCTCCTTCTCCTCCTCCTCCTCCTTGATTTCTTCTTATCCTTATACATAACCCCGTCCTGTCGCACACCGAGGCTGGTTGAAAGGGCGGGCCAGGCATTTAGCATGAGACTTCATCACCCTCTATGACGCTGAAGCTTGAAACTTGACAACAAGTTCACAGCTGGACGGCGGGTGGTTTTCAACATGTGGCTCACTCCTGAGCGCCGCGCACGCTCGTCCTGAACAGTTGCAAGGGCTTCACGGATTGAGGGCGTGTGGTTTCAAAACGTGACTCTCGCCTTAGCGCCGCGCACGCTATTTCAAAACATTCGCAAGGGTTACACTGCTTGAAGGCGGCTCCTGTTCAAAAGGAGGCTCCCCGCGCACATTCGTCTCACTATATTGCAAGAGTGTCATGGCGAACGTATGAAGCATTGTTTTTTGGAGCGAGCAACCATTGCCAGGGCGCACCAGGTAAATTGATTCGCGGCGTTGAAGTCCCAGGAATAGTTTTCTGGCGCGGTTCAGGATCGCCGAAGCGCAACAGTCAAGTTGATTAGCAGCGTTGAAGTTCCGAGAATTGTGTTTTGGTAAGCTTCAGGATCTTCAAACGGTTGTCTCCCAACGAGGCACTTGCTTCAGTGGGAACTGAATCCTTGTAGCGACGTGTGAAGAAGAGGCTTGGGAGGGGAGTGTTTTCTAATCCTACCCCTCCTCCTCCTCCTCCTCCTCCTCCTCCTCCTCCTCCTCCCTCCTCTTCCTCCTCCTCCTCCTCCTCCGCCTCCTCCTCCTCCTGCTCCTCCTCCTCCTCCTCCTCCTCCTCCGCCTCCTCCTCCTCCTCCTCCTCCTCCTCCACCCTCTCCTACCTATGGTGATGGTGGTGGAAAATGGAGGAGGATGACGAGGCGGATCTCGGGTGCTCCAGGGGCGATGCCGTAGACAAGTCTTTCGATGCGAAATCCTGGGGCACATTCTTCGGGGATCTGTGAGTGTTCCCCCCAGGGACCTGGCCCCGGAGCTTCCGTGGACCCCCCCCGGAGGCCTTGGGGGATGAGAGGTTCCCGCGGGAGACCTGCTGGCAGGCAGATGCCTCATTTGATGCGCCTGCTATACTTCCGTAGAAGAACAACAATGGAAACACCCAAAGATGACCGAGCCCCGTCCGAACACGGAATGTGCAATAGCTAGCGTCGTCGCTTGTCGCCGTCTTCATTGTCGTCGCCGTCCTCGTCCTCCTCGCCTTTGGTCGTCCTCGAACCCCCATGTCCGTCGTGCGTCCTCCTCTTCGTTGTTCTCGTCGCCGTCATCGCCGTCGTCGCTCGTCCTCCTCGTCCGCCTCGTCCTCATCTAGAGGACGGGAGAAACATAATTAATTACCTACTCGACCACCCCTCGTGTGATAAGGAGGTTGGGGGGCAGGAGGGGAAGAACCAACTGCTGGCAAATGCGACCGGCGGGTGTGATGATGACGATGCAGGTGACGCGCCATCGAGTTAGCGATGGCGCGTGATAACGATGTTGCGCTGCGATGCAATGCCACTATCGTTCTCACTATCGCCCTCGCTTTCGATCTCTCTCTATCGATCTCACCATCAGTCGCACTATCGCTCTCTATCGATCTCACGATCGGTCTCACCATCGATCTCACAGCCAGTGTCACAGTCATTGCGAGACCAGCATCGATCTCACTATCGACTTCACTATCGCTTCCAAGGCTGGTCGACCCCGGCCACCGACCGCCCGCCGCCGAGGGAGCACCGACGGGACACCCACGGGACACCAACGGCGAGACACCCCCGGCCGAGGCGCTCCCACCGGGGGGCGGAGGGGCGGTCCACTGCATCCGAATCGCCCTCGCGACGGTGGGTCACCCTTTTGCGCGCCCACGCAGCGTCGCCTCGCCCGCCCGCGCGCACGCACACGCAACCAAGACCGAGCTCCCGGTGGGGGGCTCTCCGTCCCACTGCGATCTCACCCCCAAAAACCTCCGACTTCATCGTGCTCACCGTGCACCTCACCAGAACGAGCAGCCCCACCGAAGACCTCCGAAAGCACGTGGAAACCTTCGAAAAGGCGCGTCGTCGTCAGCGGCACCCGTCGCCGTCGTCATCCGTCGTAGCTCGTCACCGGCACCCGTCCCCGCCATCCTCCTCGCCTCTGGTCGTCCTCGAACCCCCCTGTCCGTCGTACGTCGTCTTCGTTGTCCTCGCCGCCGTCATCGTCGTCGCTCGGGCGCCTCCTCCGATAAACTGCTTGAGCTCCAGACGGGCTCCTTCGATCTGCGATGGGCCGGCCCCCCCAGCGCGCGGAGCGCGCCACCGCCAGGGAGGCTCCATCGCCGATCCAGGAAATCCGCGCCGAGCTCCGAGAGGTTATGCTCATGCAGCGCTGCATCCTGTGTCTTGATCTTCTGCTACTCCTCTTCTTCTCATTATGATTACTACTCATACTATTTCAAAGTATGTTTGTTCTTCGAGCTCTCCACGTCCTCCTCCTCGCCCTCGTCAGGCTCCCCACGTTCTGACCTCTGTCACAGCGTCGACCCCCAGAGGCCTCGGCTCGTTCCCCCGGACCGGCGTTCCGTCCCGAGTCGTCGCCTGCGGGCCCGGCGAGGGCTCCGAGAGGCCGAGCACGGAGAAAAACCGTCGTCTTCGCACCTGCAAGGGGAACTACGAAGACTTCTTCGAGGCATCCTCGTCCTCCTCGTCCTCGTTTTGCCGTCGTCCTGTTCGCTCGCCGCTGTCCTCGCGACGTCCCCCTGAGGCCCAACATTGCGAGAAGATTGCCACGTCGCGAAAACTCACGACAGGAGCCCTATGGCCCCGCGACTCCATGAGGGCCCCGAGAACGCGAAAATGGAGAAATCACCCCCCGAAATATTTTGTTCGCGACGCGACGGGGTCTTGATCGTCATCGGTGACAACTCATGGGGACCTCCCATACCATCTTGCTGGCTCTTGCGAATCGACGCTAACTAACGCTAGTCGATGCTCGCCGACGCTAGTCGACGCTAAATCCATGCTAAATCCATTACTTCTCATCGACTACCAGACGCCAGTGCACGCTACCACATTTTAGTGACTGAGTTTTTCGAGGACACACAAGGCTCCGATGATTTGCTAACGAAGTCGTCGCCTTCCCTCGTTGTCGTCCTCCTCGCTCCCCGTCGTCCCCCCTCTGGTCCTGGTCCAGCTTCTGCCGCTTGGTGCGCAGGGACGCGGCCTTCGCCGAAGCCAGGGCCCAGAACAGCTGCTGCGTCCCGACCTCGACCGTCCTCCTCCCTCCTTCCTCCTTCTCCTCCTCCTCCTCCTAATCCTCCTGTTTATCCAGTTTCCCCATCAGCCGAGGATCCGCTGTGCCGAGGCGGCGCAGAACCTAGGCCAGACAAGGGGGGGGGGGGAGGGGGAGAGAAAAAGGGGGAGAGAGGACCCTGACCGAGGCGGCGCCCTCCCCCGCCTGGGCCACCGCTGAAGGGGCCCGAAGTCATCCTTCAGTGGTGACCCTGGCAGGGGAGCCAACGCCTCCGTGAGGCTCCTGCGGGGGCCCCTCATGACTCGAAGCCTCAGCCGAGGATGGGGGCGTCGCCTCCGCAAGGCGGCCTGCCCCTCTCTCGGTCCAAAGTGGGACGCTGCGGCCGAAACTCGCTCGAGCGGTGGGGTCCACACCCTGCCGCAGCATCCCCAGAGACTTGCCTGTAGCGTCATTTCGGGGCCTCCCAAAACAAACTTCAGCCAACAAGTTCATTCGGTGCCTGGCATAGCTGCCGCACATGGAACACCAAATGATTGGGAGGGCAGCACCAGGATCACCTCCCCACAATCGATGCGAGCGATGAGCCTGGCGGCAAATCCTGGGCGAACCTGAGCACTTGAAGCTGGCCAGGTGAATCCAGCTCCGCCCTCGGTCGAGACAGATCGCACACAACCAGCCTTTCCCCCAACGCCCCAAGACGTGCCCATCGGGGTCAGGGCAGAGGATGAGCTGGGCCCCTGGTGGTCGGGGCTTCTTGGCCACGACCTTAGAAACATCACGAAACTGGGGCCTCCCTGCAACCTCGAGCATGGCGCCTGCGAAGCGGCCTAGAACCTGCAGGCGCTGCCTTTGCTCAACAAACTGGTCGCGGAGGGCCACTGGAATGGGAATGTCGCTGGCTGCTCTCCTGGCAGCTTGATCCGCAACTCGGTTCCCTTTCCAAGCCCAGAACGACACGCCCATGGAGAGGGCCTTGGGCCAGGTCTTATGGGCGGGGACATGGAAAACTCGAAACGAATCGCCACGGCCCCGCCGCCTGAAATTCGCTTCTTCCCAAAACCCCGCAAAGGGCAGGTTAGAGACACCAGCTCCCGCCCCTCGGTCCCAGGTCAAGACAGCGGACTGACAGTCACAACCAAGCACAACATCGCCTGGGCCCGAGAGACGGAGAGCCATGAGAATGGCGAGCACCTCTGCGCCATAAATTGAATGCAACGCGTGCGGAAGGGGACCGCTGGCCGAGCCAAGAATATTTCCACCTCCGCCCAGCATCACTACAGCCCAGGCAGCGACCGTGAAGAGAGGGAGGTCAGGAAAAAGGGCAGAGCCATCGGAGCACACGCGGCCTTGCAATTCGCCTTCTGGTGGGCAGACGTCCCACCCCCAGGCACCTGCGATCTGGAGGCGAGGGGCGAACCTGATGGGGGCAGGGAGGAAGCAGCGGGAGAGGCAAGGGCCCTCCTCCTCCACACTCCTCCAACCCCGCAACTCCTCATCAAAACCGAGCTTGCTGCGGCCCTCGTGCAACCCATCACAGACGGAGAGGCGGTGCTGTGAGGTCCCGCGAGCTCCAAGACACAACTGGCACCTCTGGTCGATGACGCGACGGTCTTGATACAGAACGGACTGGGTGACGAGGCCTCCTGCCACGTGTGCAGCAAGAAGGCTGGCCTGGAGACTGCCCCCTCTGCGACGCAGTGCAGCGCACCCCTCGCTAACTGCATCGAGCTGGGGGCGGGGGGCCTCCTGGCCCTGATGGCTCCACCGCAGCTGCCCAGACAGCTGATCTTTAGTGCCAAGATCAACGAAAGCCTGCAAAGAAACCTTTCGGACCTTCTCGAGGTCCAACGACAGGCCCGAGGGAAGAGACCAGACGCAGAAACTCTGGGGGACCCACCCGAGCCTCCGAAGCGTCATGATCACAGCTCCCGTAAGGCCTTTCACCGCAGACCACGTGAAATCATTTGCGCGGAATCGCTCCAAAAGTAACTCGGAAGTAGATCGCATCGCCTCCCTAGACGCCCATCCCTGCCAAAAAGCCTTCCCCCATGCGAGGAGCGGCAAGGAGTTGCCCACAAAGGCTGGGCCGGCTTCGGGCGCAGGCGAAAGTCAGAACTGAATAGTTCGGGAGCGGCCTCTAGCAGGTCCAAAGAGCCCCTGGGCAACCGCACACCTAAGCCTCGAGAGGAGCCTGTTAGAGATCCCAACCACACTGACCCCGTACGAGCCTGCTGGGAGGGCACCCACTTTGGAGATCATTGTGAGCCTGCGAAACTGACTCTTCGGAGAACGAAAGCGGCCAGCGCGGGCCCTCACCTTACATACACGGCCAGCCTGAACCTGAACCCGACGGCGGTCCCCTTGCGTGTAGTCAGTGCCCAGGTTCTTCACATGATGTGAGGACCGAAAATGTCACTTTTTTAAAACCTGCAACAATCTTGTCGGCGATGTCAGACGTGGTGGCCGTCACGCGGCCCTTGGTCGTGGAGATGATGAGCCTACGGGCCTCGATCATGCGGCGCAGCGTGAGGGTGACCGCCAAACCTTCCTTGACCACCAGTGCTGCCGCGCCGATCGTCTGAGCCGCAATGTCTTCCACCACGTCAAACAGACGGGTGCGAGGGAACCACCTGGCACAAAAATCGAGAACATCAAGCATCATCACCTGGAGAAGGGTGGTGGCGAAGCCGCAGCCTGCGATGACGGTGGACAGGATCCTTACAGGGCGCGACACTCGCTTACCTAGCAGGAGACTCCGTGGTGCACGATACACTTTCAGACACAACCGGAGGTGAAACAGCGGAAACCCATGCTTCTTGGCCGCGCTAATCAGGTCCCTGTGCTGGACCTTCTCGTAGGCCTTAACCAAATCCGAAAAGGAGTTTGTCGCAAACCTCCCCGTCAGCGCGGCATTCTCGCTGGCGAAAGACTGCTCCCAGGCGGCCCTTTCGCAAGACTTGCCCCTGGTCCCGTAGGTATAGCTCCGGAAATGTTCAGCTTCCCACAGACGGACCACCTCCCTGGAACATCGGGCCCAGACTCTCACCACCATGCTGAGCAGCCCTATGAGCCGCGTGTCCCCTTCGGGCTTCGGGAAGGGGGGCATGAGGGCGAGGCAGATCTGCGCGGGCAACGCTCCCAGGGCCAACATCCAGTTCCACAGCAAGTTGAGGGCCTCGAGGCACTTGTCCGAGGCCACGCAGGAGCCCCTGGGGCCCAGACGATCGACACCGTGCGACGTCCAACCCTTGATATTCCGCGCAACCTTCCGAATGAACTCGGGCTCGCGCTGCAGCACAGGGCGCCGCTGGGGCCCCAGGAAAGACGACAGCTCACGCATGCATTCCTCTGGGTCCTCGCCGGCCTCGGGGCATGACCAGACCTCCTCCCAATCCTTCAGAACGTGCTCCAGCTCCTCCTCGGGGCCTGGGGGGGGGGGGGCTCGCCACGCTTGGCCTGGATCGGCCTCCAGCCCACAGGGAGGCGGGTGAACCTGTGGGCCTTGCCGCCACCGTTGGCGACAGCCTCCTTCACGTACAGGCGCCACTCGGCAGACCGACCACTAGCGAACTCCTTCTCGCAACGGATGGCCTCCTTCTTGGCGAGGCTGGCAAAGTCAAAGAGGTCGACGGATGACATGCAGCGCCAATCTGTGGCGGAGAGAGAAAAAGCGGCCCAGGCTGGAGTGCCCCTGATCGCCTTCGGCCCCGTGCTGATCTCAGCGAGAAGGGAGGCGAGCACGAGAGGCCCCCTGCACACATCCTGGGACTGGATGTGGCCGGGCTCGCGGAGCCAATTGGCCACTCGCCTCCAGCCCAACGCCTCCTGGCTAGCAACAGGGTGCGGACCTGGCGTCGGAGCGAATCCAGGGAGACGCTTATACTTCCAGCCTAAGCCCCTTCCTCGAAACCTCATGCTCCACGCGTCCGACAAACTTCCCAAAGGACTGGTTCAAGCTGCGCTGGCCCCCCTGCTTCTCGAGAGCCTTCAAGACGTCAGACCAATCTGGTGGGACAGGATAGGGGCCAATAGGGATCTCCAGCGGAAACTTACGAGGGCCAGCGTGAACCAACATCGAGGTCGGCACAGCGCGGGCAGCAAGACGGAGTCCCACAGGCCTGCGTGGGGCCAGGAAGGAGTTGACCGCCACAGAGCACCCCTTGACGGACGGCATGAGGACATCCGAGACGACGAAGTAGTCCAAGGCCCGTCCCTTGCCTGACCGACACGTGACTTCGCGCGGCGCAACGATCCGAGCCCGAACCCGACTCGGCCAGCCCATGGCCACCAGCTCCGAGGGGGTCGTATTCCAGTCGCCCCCAATAATAAAGGGTCTCCGAACCGTGTGGAACAGCTCGCCCAAGCGCACAAGCAGGTGGGCCCCTTCGGGCCCGAAGGGAGCCTCGGTAGGTAGGTAAACGGAGGCCAGCCAGAAGCCCCCTGGGACCAGGGCATTGACCCACTTGGGGACGAGTCGATGAGGAGATGGAAGAGGTTGCTTGGGCATCGGGCCTTCGCCCATGCCGACGTGCTGAGGCACGCCCACTCCAACGCCTCCTGACAGGCTGCCAAGCTCGGTGACTCGGCTAGCCTGCACTGCAACAAAAAACTTCTGGCCCCTCAGCTGCTTCTCGCACTGGGTTCGATCATCAGGGTGAACTCCGAGCTCCTGCAGACACAACAACTGCACAGGCCGATCTGCCAGGGTCCGAGTCCGATGACGACCGTACGCAAGGGCGGACTTCCAGGCCGTCGCGTTGGCGGTCCAGACCACTAAGTCTCCGCTCGGCTTGGACTTCTTCTTCGGGAGCCGCGGCGCACCAGCGGGAGCAGAGCGCCCTCCTTCCCCCGCGCGCGTTTCGCCGTCCCCAGCGGTCGGTACTTCGCCAACCTCTGTGCCCGCAAGGCTGGCAGGGGGATCCATGCTTGCCTCATCGGTCGGTGCTTCACCCCCTGCTGCGCCCGCAAGGCGAGGTGGATCCGCGCGCGCCGCTGGGGCGGTAGGCCGTGCAAC